GAAATTTTACATTCCCTGCTTTTTCCTTGCAAGTTTAATTAAAGTTAAAATTATTTGTTTTCATAGTTAACCATGTTGCATCTTATTAAGGATCTATAAATAAATCGCGTATTCTGAGTAGACTACGTAAGGAGCCAAAAAACACTATAAAATATGAATATGAATTATTTAGTTTTTTTTTTTTTAAACTTGAATTAGTTAGTTGGTATACAATAGATAGAACTATGTTAATAAAGCGTGAACGTGTGTGTGTGTGTATTCTTATTTCTTTCAACTATGTATATATACTATATTATGCATACTATCTCATTAAATTATTAATACATATACAACTTCGTAAGCGCACACATTTACTTATGTATACACTCGAAACGGTGCAACAGAAGAACTGGGGACCAATTCATGGACCAGCTCATAGCTCATTTACTTTAAATAATCTAATTCAGAAATGAAATAAATGTTGGAAAATGGTTTCATATGTATATACATACTATTATATAGTGGAAGAATATTGGTTTATCTTGTTATTTTTCACGGAGGAATATTGGTTATCTAAAACCCAAAGGAATTTTCTTTTTGTACCTTCTTTATTCTTAAACACAAATTACCCACCAAACAAAATAACAGCAGTTCAAATCGAATTTACAAAGAATCTTTATCTTTTAAAGTTTTTATAGACCAACCTTTAATTTGAAAAAGGCATTATCTATAAACTACAAATTCTAAGACCTATAGTCAATGAAAATTATAGATAATGCAAATATTGTTTTATTAACAAACAATGCGAATATGCAATGGTTTTGGTTGCAATGGATATATGTGGGACAGTTTTTTTTTTTTTAATCTCAAAACTAATTGATAATGAATTAAGAAATCTAAACTAATATTAAATAATCTTCATCTTTTATATGAAATATTTTAGTAATATATACTAGATAGATACTAGGGGTGAGACGGATCCTAATATTCTAGAATTTCAGTGTATCCGAATTTGGATCCGTAGTAAAAGTATCCGGATCCGGATCCGTAACTTCCGGATATCCGGCCTTTGTATATCCGACCACAAATCAGGATATCCGGATCCGAATCCTAAATTAATATTAAAAATAATTAAAATAATTAATATATAAAAAAAATTATTAGTTAAAGTTTTAAATGATATTTTTTATAATAAATATAATATATTAATAAAATACCTAAAATCAATTTATATATATTTATATAAAATAGCTTAATATATGTAAAATATATATGTTTTTAATATATTTAATGCGTCCGGATCCGGATATCCGAACTTTAAAATTTTGCTATCCGAATTCAGATTCTCTTTCCACGGATCCTAGATTTTATTATCCTTATCCGGATCCGGATTCTCCGGACATCCTAATTTTTGGAGCGGATCCGAATGAATACCAGATCGGATTTTGGATCCCGGATAAAAATTACATCCCTACCAGGTACAATGTAAAAATTGTGGTAGTACGTAGTAAAATTATTTTCTCTAAAAAAATTTCTTTCGGAATATTGTGAAATTTAACGTAAGCACAATTTTGATTTGATTAATTTTTCTAGTCTTCTATTTTTAAAAATGCCACTTATCAAAAATACCACTTTTCAAAAATGCCACATTTTCAAAATCTTTGCAAAAATGCCATTTTTCAAAATTATTTTTTCATTATAGAATTTATGTTTGGGTTAACTATGTTGTATTATAGTTTAGGTTTGAGTGTTTATGGGATTTTAGGGGTCAAAACATTTTTTAGGGTTTAGAATTTTAAGATATAGACTTTATAAATCTATAACTAGTGGCATTTTTGCAAATGAACACTCCTAAATGACATTCTTGCAAATGCGCACACAAAAAGTGGCATTTTTGCAATTATACCTCTATTTAATGCGTAGTTTTTTTTTTAATTTTTTGTTAACATTCTTTAATACGTAGTTATAATATTTACAAAGTGAGCTTCAATTCTAAAATTATCTCAACCAATGGAATTATATAACCAAAACCACCCCACTAGTTTACAATTAAACGAAATTTTGAAATTCAAAATGAAATTTAGATAGATCAAATGGGTGATTTTAAACACCACAACTATAGCAGTCCCTCCGGGAACATCCGATAAAACTGGAACGATATAGATAAAATTAGCATAGCCCCTACGCAAAGCTGTCACGCACAAATTAAGAAATGGTCCGATTTTT